TTTGGCTAATCCTAAAAAATATTCTACAATAGCGGATTCTACCATGGATGCCGTGTTCTTCATGCTGCCACGTCATGTAAGCTTACGATTTCTGCCTCTCTCAGGCGCCCGGTACCTTTTCCCGGCCAGCAGCACTCCCTCGCCCTTTTCTTTTCAGTCGTGTCCATCCTGTTCCTTACCGGATCATGTCGGGGATGCCAGTTGTGGGGTTCTTTGTTCATGCGAGGCACAGGCAACTCAGCACATCAATATGATGATCAGAGAAGTCGTTTATTAATCAGAAGGCTACATTTTATATACTGCTTTCTACTTCCGTACACGCGCTTGCTCAAGCTCTAATTGGTTACATGTACTGTCCACGCGACTATCACGCTCCTTAGCAAGGATTCTGATAGGTGTTTATGCCATGCATAGCTTCCACGTAAATTAAACACAAGTTCTTTGTCTAACATACAAGCTCCCTGTCTCATCCTGCTCCCATCGCCTTGTTTCTCAAGCTTATCTATCTCCTGCCCTACAAGCTCGCCTCCCTGCATAACTCTCTGCACATTCCCACATCTTATCACATTCTCAAAATACCCTCCAGCTTATTGCTAACATAAAATGATCCTACAAAGGACAACCTGTGGACATCAAGGCAGAACATCACAGGCCTCCCAACTCATACAGCGTCTGTCACACCACTGCTGCATCTTTGTATTAAGGACAGAAAATAACTCTTCTAACTGTATCCCTGGGCAACTCCGTTTTTATGGCGATTCAAGTGACAGCTGACACGCACACTGGCAAACTGCACAATAAAAGAACAGCAGTGAGTGGAAACATCACCACATTCCAAGATTTAGTAAGTTTTATTAGAAACTAAATTACAAAAAAAGAAAATGAAAGGAGTTTAACAATTTTCATTAGATGATAAGCAGCAGAAGTACATACGAAGGAGAGGGAAATCATCTAGAAAAATCATGAAACATATATAACCCAATGTAATGAAAGAGTTGGAGCCAACATATATAGCTACTTGCTAAAAACTGAAGATCAGCGCTGAGGGGTTAGGTTCTGGCATGCTTGATGTTCCTATGTGCAGTGGGATCATCTGCAGCGAGCTTAGCTTAAGGTTGCTCTGCCAGCAGTGGTCAGGGATGGTTCTTGCATTTTGCTGCGGAACAGAGCAGAAAGGAGGGATGGCAAGTAACCAGGTTTGCTCAGAGCAAACTCACTCAGCTGCCCAGGACCAGACAGGGGAGGAAAAGAGAGGATAGTATAGATCAGTCCACTAGAAAACAGCATTTAGGCACTGCTGTATAGAGAAAGAATCTGAAGATTTTGGATTCGCTTCTGCTACGTGTGCAAACATTATCATCCCAGGAGATTTACGTATGTAGGATGAATACACTGGGAGATGGTTTCAGCCTTTCTCAGTTGTGTGTTTGGTCTACTGCTCCTTCCTAATGATCCAGAAAAGATTTGTCTCAAAGGAACGGGACTAAAAAGGAAGGAGGACAAGTCCCAAAAATGAAGAGAAAGAGCTCTTCCAGTAAAGACCTCTGTGAGCCTTCCCATGCTAATAGGGCAGAGTTGGGGGAAGAAGGTGTCTGGCAAGAGCTACACAAGGTAGGGCAGCATCCCTTATGGGAGAAGGGAGGTCCGACCTACAGTAAGTAGGTGTTGAAGCTCTAGATGAGGCTGATAAGGAGGTGGAAATATTCACCTTAATCAGGAAACCTCACATACCTATAGTGAAGGCCCAGTTCTTATTACTGAGAGATGGGTCTGGGAAACAGGAACAAAATCTTTGATGAAAGAAAGATGTAGGAAAAAACCAACACTGAATAGAGCTGGATCAGTTCATACCATCCATGCTGAGATGCCTGCATCTAAACTGGAGCATCATCACACCAAGGAGTAAAACCACAAAGCGTTGTGGTTAGACTGTCTCACTCCCTGAGCAACGTCAACAAGTGCAGTGTGCCTTCTGGAGGACGCCAAGAGGTAGCTGTTGCATCACGCAAACCCCTCACGCAATCAAGTAACTTGAAATCATTTCAAGCAGCCTGTGCCCTCAGGTCTCTTTCAACTGTGGTACATGGATGGGATGAGAACAACAGGTCTATCCATCCCCCTCTCTCCCCAGGCACCTGACAGCTGTAGGGTATGTGACATGCGTCCTTTTCTCCCTGCCTCCAAGAAGTGGTGCAGTATGACAGCAATAACACAGCACTGTGTACAGAACAGGGTGTGCTGTGGAAAAAGGCCTGATGGAATTATTTGTTCCCCTACTGTTTTGCAGGGCAAGGCAGGACTGATAGCCCTCTGTGAGCATGCCTCATTTCACACCCATGCTCTGCCAGTATTTTACCTTTCATGCGCACTATGGCCTGGCTATGGTCCTCGCCTTTGGCGTTTCTGGCATAGCAAGTATAATTCCGTTTCAAGTCCTCTGGTGTGGCTTTTGCAACAGTTAGTGTCCTTGTAACAGTTTTGTCTTCAAAATCTCTAGTAATTTCACTGTAAGAGAAAAAGTAGAGCCTTACATATGTGAAACTGCAGCAAGTTCTTAGAGACAAATACTCATTTCTCTGATATAACTTAATTCTTTCTTTAAAAAAAACAAAACATCAAACTGATATTTATAAACTGATACAGACTTCAGATTTTGACACAGCTGCAGCTGTTCCTTTATCTGATTTTCCTTAATATTTATTTTGCCATTCATAATTTTCTCATTGCAGTTGGGTCACATTGCATTTTACAGATAAAGGAAGTTCTTGCCCACAAAGCAACAAGATCTCATGAACTCAGGATTCAGAGCCCACTGCACATTCCCTCTGCAATCCTGGATGAGTCACTTTGTCTCTCTCTGCCTGAATTGATAATCTGCAAAATGGGGATAATAGTATTTCCTTTTGCCTTTCTCTTCTCTACATCGGTTTGCAAACCGACTGGGGCAGCGCTTGCCTTCCACATGTAATTCAGCACCCAGCAAATGGGACTCCGAACCTCATTTAGGTTCTCCATGTAACTGAATCTCTAGTCCTCCTAATCAATACTATGTATAATACTACATTTTTGTTTTCAGTCTTTGGTTTTTTTGAGTAATTTTTATCACTTATACTATTTGGGAACATTCCTCTAAATAAAATTGTGTCTGCCCCTGTTTCAGAAGTCCCACAATAGCATCAGCTGTTGGCACCACTACCAGGATCTGAACAAGTGACGATGCGAACTGGTAAACACAGCGCTCTCAAATCATTCTGTAAGATGAGACACAGTCCAGGTCTGGAGTCCTCCTCCCTGGAGCTCCTGGTGCTCATCACGGCATGGTGCAGACACAGGGGTTTCTGATTAACAGGGAAGTGGGGGACTCCACACTCCCTTGCAAGGGTAAATGGGACTGTCATATGTCTGTACCCTCATCCCTTTGCAGAACTCAAGGGATGGTTACATACAAATGAAGGTTCACAGTGCTATGTTACCTTTGTGTGACTTTTATCTTGGAGTCTGTGATGTCATCTGTGGTTTTCCCATCTATGGTCCACCACACCTCTGTCCGGGAGTCCTTCAGAAACGTGAAAAAGACCTCACAGGATAGAACAAGGTCATCTCCTGGGAAGAAAGGACCACGGTGAGGTATTGCAAAGCAGGAACACCATCACCTTGACTTTCGTGCTTTCCAGTGATCCTACCAGCCTGAGCATTGCCAGCCTTCAGGAGGGAATGAGGCCAGCTTCTGCCTTCAGACATCTGATAACAGTTTAATACACCAGACATGTTGGTTTATGACTGACAAATAAGTAGGAAAAAAATATTCTGCCTTCTCAAATGTGTTACAAATTCCCTGACTGCACCAAATGACCCACCCAAAGGGAGATGCTCCATGCCAGCCACTTCCTTGGAAAGCCAGGCAGTGTTAATCATCCCTACTGCACAGGGAACAGATGCCATAAAGTAAAGGATCCAGCTCCACAAAAGCATTTTGGTGTGGGAACACTTGTTCAGGCATTTAACTTCCCCCCAAGATCAGGCTTAGGTGTGTGAATACCTTTGTGATCAGGTCATAAGTGATTTTATCTTATAGAGTGACTATGGAAGAAATCTGACTTTCTGAGCCAAAAAAGCTGTGCTTTAAAGAGAAAACTCTGCTGCTAATCATCATTGGCACCACAATTTATTACAAGCAATGTAATGGGACACAACCCATTCAATATAGGAAATTGCTCCAAAAAGCTATCAGTCTAAACAGATGGGGTGGGAGAAGGGGTGTGGTACCCCGTTACACAATGCTGTGAGGCCAGCAAAAGGAAAGCTGTCATTAATTAGGAAGTAATCAGCCAAAAAGGGAGAGGAGATGAGCAAGAAGTGGCCAGAAGGCTGAAGACACTGAGGGGCTGAATGCAGGAGGGTTGGAGCAAACCACAGACAGGGACAGGGCTGATACAAGGTCCTACAGGAATTTTTCTAAGCAGCTGAGGGTCCCTGTTTCATCTGTTTCTGCAGCTGCAGTCCTGCATCTCTGTGCCTGAATACCTATCTTCATTTGTGCTTGCAAAAATAAACTTTTAAAGCTGTGCCCTCCTATTCTGACATCAAGAACTGGCACCCCGCACTGTCTGCCAGGCAACTCATAGCAGCTCACATGCTCTGCGAGGGAAAGCATCTGGGATGCAGTGGAAGGGGAGAGCTTCTGTGCCTGGCTGGGTCTCCCCACCCCAGCAGGCAGGCTGCCAGGGCAGAGACAGCAGGCAGCGAGCATTGCAATTTACCTGTTTCCAGTTCGTAGACAACTTTCTCATTTGGAGAGTTGAATTGTGGTGGCAAGGCCTTGTTCGGAGATCCTGTAGGAGAGAACAGAGAGCCCCCCATGGGGACCAGAACTTCATGAGAACCTGGGGTCCTTGCAGCCTCGCTCATGATGCCCTCACACCCCGCTGCACATGCCCCAATCTAACTTGTGATACTATCCTGCTGCAGAGCTCCACACAAAAACAAATCTAATCCTAGTCCCCAAACTCAGGGCCAGACCCAGGTTGTGCAGCTCCTCCAAAGTTTAGGTAAGTCTAGACACAAGTTTTTGGGCCTCTCACATCAGAAGACCTCGATACCTCTCTCATCTCCCAGTCAACATCTCCCACAAGGCACAACCTGTACCAGTTTCTTTTTATTGCTGCTTCTAAAAAAGCAAAATACAAACATCATTTCCTGATGTAAGTATTTAATTCAGCTCTTAAAGCAGCAGTTGCCATGGGACTCAGCATGTGCTCTACTGTTCACTAGGTTTTTAAGCTCTGTCTATAAGCTCTGGCAGGTAGGCTGAGCCCTTGTGCCTGGGACAGAGCTGTCCAAACACTGGGCTGGCCAACTAGAGCCCTGCCTGGCCGATTAAAGTCTCAACATCAGCACACCAGCCTTTGAGATTGCAAGATGACTATAATGGGATAATCCCAGAAATAATGATGAGCAAAGGCCACAGGAGACAAAAATGAGGAAGAGTGCCAGGGTTATGCATTCACATGCCAGCAGAGGGTACCCCTGGCCATCTCATGGGCTGCACCTCACCACCCTACACCTGGTCACTCTGTGTTGTTTGGGGCACTTGCCATAGTGGTGGGTAGGACCTCCAGTGCAACATGTTCTGGGCAGTCACGCGAGGCTGACCCCAGCAAGCAAAAATATACCAGGTCAGTTGGAAAATGCAGATTGAGCACAACCACAAATGGATCCTGTGATAGACTCTTCTAGATGTTTTTACCACTTCTGCAGTTATCCACCTGCATTTTACACATTTTAAAGTCATTCTTACCTACCACCTTCATGTTTATGGTTCTGGTGAGATTATAGGTTCTTCCATGGTCCTTGAATGTCACAATACAAGTGTAATTCCCTTTATACGCACTGCGGACAATGGCGATGACAAGCCTGGGCCCTTGGGGGTATCGCTCATAGAAGCCATCCACCAAGTTGCAGTTCTGGAGTCAGGCAGAAAAACACTTGAGTTTTGGGATTCAAAAGTACAGATATTGGTTTAAATGCTACTACAAAGATCTGTTCTTAAACTATTAATATGATACTTGGGATTGTGATGTAGGTCAGACCTAAATACTATGAACTTTGAGCACGCTGGAATACAAACTGGTATGTTAACTTTGAAAATGAGGTGATGAAGCAGATGACCCTAATAGTTTTGTCCCACCTTAAATACAGGCAATTTTATAAGAGAGAGATTTCTGATCCAGAAGTACATTTGCAATCAAAGTGAGCACCTCGGCAGAGTGAAGAGTGGGAGTAAAAGAGACAGGAAGAAAATGATGATGTATTCACAAATGGATACTAAGACTAAAGGACATGTCCCCTGTTGATGTCAGCATGTCTAACTCTTTCGGGACTAATCAGGCTACCCTGACTGACTTCAGCTGAGGATCAGGCCTCAAAAGCAGCAACTGGCAAACAAGACTCTGTAGTACAGAAACCTTAATAAGTCTTCTCTTTCTGTCAGGCAAGGCAGGAAGCCTCTGCCAAGTACCAAGCTAGAGATCCCTTTTCAGAAAGGCGGTATGCAGATGACATGTTGATTGTCATAAAACCCAAAGATGCACACATTTTCTGAGAGATTATTTCTGAATGGTACATTTCCAAATGGGGCAGTTTAAGACACAGGTCATATACCATTTTTAATGATTTTTATTAGGCATGGGATGACTTGCTGCCTGAAAAATTACTTCCATGGGGCTTTTTGTTTCATTCTGCTAATTGATTGCTGAGATATGAATTTCAATGAATGGCACAAGTAAAGCGTTTCAACTACTGGAGTGAAACTGCTCCTCTTGGATACAAAAGTAAGTTTTTCCTGAAGGGTTTTAGAGATAATTCTTTTCTTTTGGGGTGGATTTTTTTTTTTTTTTTAAATCAGCAGATACATTTGTTGCCAACTTTCTTTATTATTAAATTCACTCATACAGAACCTTCTACCTAGAAATCCAAAAGCACTTTATAATCGGTTAGAGAATTCAGTCCCATAACCCTCTGGCTGCACATCCCCTGAGAATTCTTATTCTCTGTTGACTAAAGGCATCCACCTAGAGAAAAGCACTGAGGTTAAAATTTAATAAAATTTAGCAGTAATTCTGTAGGCAAGAGCCTGAGGATGGCTGGAGACAGCCTAATTATCAGAACAGTATGGAAGGTGGGGTAGGGATGTCTCCATCTTCAGAAAAGAGGTTTGCTGAATTATGTCAAACAAGGCATCCATGGTCCTTGCGGAGGCCTGATGTACAACTTAATTTCCTGACCTCAAAAGAATTTGGAAAGGATGCTATTTTCATTAGCAGGTGTGGGGTTTTTGGTGTTCTTTTTGTTTTGTTTTTTTTTAAACAGAAGAGGGAACATGAAGCACGGTTTCCTCTCCAGGGACAGTGACTGGCTCACATGGCAGGTCAGGTATACTGCCCGCAGCTGAACTGAGGTTCCTAAATCTCTGCTAGAGTATTCTCTGCTTGTGCATGCTGGTCAAAAAAGTTTCAGTGTTAGCTCTCAATTCCCTTCCAAGAGCAGTTTTACCCTTGAACGCAATGGAAACAAAGCTTTTAAAATTAGTAAAGCTTCATTAACAGCTCCATCACTGAGGCAGCTCTGAAACATAGCTCCACGATTCTCATGCCACCATTGCTTTTCCAGATACAACACTCCATTCCCCCTCTGCCCAAATAAGTCGTTCTTACCAAATACCACTTGACAGTTGGTATTACACTAGCAGGATAAAACCCATCAATATCTGGACATACGATCTTCTCATTGGCATGCTCCAAGTAGAACATCTCCTCAGTGGGTTTTATTGAATGGCTCACACAAGAGTGTTGGTCTTTTGGAACAACCTCCAAGGGAAATGCAACTTTGCTGCAGTAGGTTGTATTTCTAAGGACATAGGAGGATAGGGCTGATTAGTTGAAACTTGTTTACTCCTATAGCAGTGGAATGAAATAAAAATCACATCTGCAATAGCAAGCATCATAGTGCTGATGAGGTATATAGAGCCTTAGTTGACTCATTTATAAATGGGAAAGACAACACCATCAGAGATGGCCACACTAGCTCAGAAAAGCCTATAAAGATGACTAACAAGCAACATCCACTCCCCTGCTGGTAAAGCAGATAATAGGGTCAAAGACATGATGAACAAGAGACAATGTGAGGAAGATCAAAAAGAGCTCTTGTGCTCAGTGCATAGCAGATGCTATGTTCATTTTGTACCACACTTAGAGACACTTTTAATTTCCTAGAAGTCTGAATCTCATGAATCTTTGCCAAATTACCATGCAGTCAAAACATTACCCCTGCATCTGAAGCTATTTTTACTCTAGACATACAGATCACTTCTTAATGGCGAGTGCCTGTGGATTTTGCCATGGGCTCAGCAATAATATTTTCACGGACACTTGCAGCTAGCAAGGAGAGGCATGCTCATTAATGTTTTCAAGGCTCCAAGCATTATTACAATGTAAATTGGCTCAGCACTGAGCGGTCTTATAATTGTAACATTCTTTTCCCATTAATGCTTATGTAAATGGTCTTCTCCCTACAAAAAGATCTGGTGCTAATAGCATAATTTTCCTGCTTCCACGAAAGTCATTCGATTCTGCTGAAGACATACAGAAGCACAACCTACCTGAGCATGCACGTATAATTCCCAGTGTCATTTAGAAAAGCAGGCCAGAACCAAAGGGTGTCTTTCTCCTTACTGATGTGATTGTCCGGGAGACGAAAATTAATGGGCTCCTCCAGATCCCGATCCTGCCCGATCCTGTACCAGATCAGGGTTAAGCCAGCAGAATGGGCCGTGCTGTAGTTGTACTTCAAGAAGGTCTCAAAAAGTGGGCATTTGATCTTGGCAGGTTCCCCATCATAGATCTGGATCTGCTTCATGGTGTCCACACCCCAGTCATCACAGCGTTCTGCAGCGAAGAAGAACAACGTACCTTAGCTTGCAAGTCTGCAGGAGAAAAACGGTTCTGCCCATGTTCCCCACAGTCCTTGGTCCTGTCCCCATCAAAATCAGAGACAAAAATGTAGTGTTTTCAATGGAAGCAAACTGGGCTTTTATAAAGCAGAGCAAGAATACTGTGTTCATCTCTAGAGAACCTGCAAACCTCTACTTGCATTTGTACACCTCCTACATTTCTTCCAAATTATTTATCACCCATCAGGACAATAGGATAGGATAGTCCTGTATAGCATCAGGCTTCCTAGAGAGCTCCTAGAAAATTCAAACCTAAAATCTTGTGTGGGAAGACAAAATTTGGATGAAAGCAATGCTAGAGGTGTGTGTACATCCATGCACAGTGACATAGAAGATGGAAATAGAGGAGTTGAAATAAGAGGGAAAAAAACGAATGCAAACATCAGCCATCCCTTACAGCTATGGGCCATTGTCCCTGCCAGTAAGAAGCTGGACTGTGGGTTCTGGGAATGAGGACCGTCTTTCCTGTGATGGGTTCATGCAACACCTGTGCACGCTATGATAACACAAAGTGCACAAGCACTAGTGCCATGTAGCAACTATTCATAGTGAAGTTTGGGAAGGGAGGCTGAGGGGCAGAAGAGATAGTATGGAGGAGGTGGCAGCAGGTTCTCTCAAGGATCCCCAGGCAGCTCCCAGGTACAATCCCCAAGCACAGTTCAACAGGCTCAGCATGGCTCACAGCAGACTCAGGCTGACAGAGAAACCGGGCAGCATGAGAAAAAGCTGTGCCGTGCTTTATTTTATTTTTTTTTTTAATTTATTCTTGTCATTAGTGACTAGTTTCAGGACAAACAGCACAGTCAAAACCTATTTCTCTTCTGAGTCCTCCTTCCCACTGCATTCCTCCTACCCATCAGGATGCCCACTCACGAAGGGACTTGGTGCAAACAAAGCACGGTACCAGGGTGTCAGCAAACCTGAGAGTAACCTGTACCGCCAGCACCAGTCAAGACACACAGAGAAGCTCCTGCCAGTGCATCTCCTGTCTCCCCACGCTGACAAGGCAGATCGTGGCACGGCACGCTTAGCAGCGCATCTCTTGTAGCTGCTGGGAGGCATTAGCTAGGGCAGCCTGACATCTGAGAGCTCAAAACGAGTCAAACAGGAGAGGGGTGTGCTGCCTGCAGTGGTCCCCGGGAGCGGTGTCTCAGCATATCACAGGCACACAAGAGACGACACTGCAAAGCCTCTTCCATTTGCAGATATTAGAAGAACTCGGACCGAGAGGAAAGACAGAATACAATATGCTCTTTGAGCCCAATTCTTCTGAACTGACTTCACAGGCCCAAAGCAGGATTTCTGGCATTTTATCTTCCTTAAATAGACAGCGAGCTGTAGCTTGGCCCATAATTCATACTTAATTAAAAAAATGGCAAAGAGATAAACCTTTGAGAAGACGAGCTCACAGTACTTAAAGGCAGCGATGCTAACTCCTGTGGTTCAGCAATGGTTAGTCACGGTGTGGAAAAATCTAGGCCAGTAAGAATAGAAATGTACAGAAATGTTTTCTGGCGGGTTTACACATAAATGTAAATGCAAACTGCACTGCTCCTCCTGGGGTATGCCAAACACCCATATGACAGAGTGCTACTTCTGAAGGAAGAGATTGAATTGGGCTAGGAAGAGGCAGTGAAGCTACCCAGAGTACAAGTATTTGCTAGGAGGAATCCCAAACCCAAGTGGCTTGAGAGTGCCATTGCTTGTCATCTAAGAAACATACAGATATTTCTTTCAAAACTGCACAGCATCATCCAGTACGGCTGCTACCACAGTCAGTGCCAAGGCTCATTGTGAAAGACCAAACCACTATTGCAAGCCTTATATCATGGGAAGGTGCATAGTCACCAGTCACCACCATGGTCAAGGCCAACTGGAACCAGTATGCTGCTTTATGCTGTTGGATTAGGCATGGTCAAGTTTCCGTAGCATGATAAATGAGATGAATGAGCCTGCCAGAAACTGCCTGCTAATTGCACGATAAAGCACAGATTACTATTCATGGAGGGGGGACGTTTGTTTTTATAAAGAAAGACTTTCCCTCTGAAAGGAGTAGACATGGGTCTGTAAATCAGGACACCCAGGTTCTCTTCCCAGCACCTGACTCTGCTGTCTCCTCTTGGGCTGCATAAAGGTAAATTGTCCTTATTGCTTCAAATAGCAGGACTGGAGAGGAAGAAAACTATATAAAACACTACAGTACTGAAATTCTTGGAGTCAAGATCAATGAAATTTGCAATCACGAACAGCTGCATTTTGCTCATAAATCAGCATTGTAAAACTACTTATCCATTCTACTCAAGTTATTGAAATAAATACAACTATTTTCTTTTTTTTCTTCCTAGATTACTCAAAAGCAATGTATGGGCTTTGTCTTCTTGGCTGGGGAAGAGGCAACTGTTATTGTTCTTTACTATAAGAGCTGTACCTAGAGATTTTGTCTCAGAGCTCGCTAATTCGCCTGACTTCAGGAACACTGTCACACCAAACACCTAGTCCTAAGGCTCCCCACATGTGTCCTGCCTTGGGGTGCTGCATGTTCTGAGCTGAACCCTAAACACAGCACATAACCCCGCTGGTAATGAGCGGCTACACCACAGACCGCAGGAGCTGCCATGCGGCTTGAGATCGCAGGCTGTGCTTGCCACCCTGCTGACAAGGACTTCTCCTGGCTGCCAGGGCAGAGCCAGGCCAGCACGGCCCCGAGGGCCCAGGGAGCAAAGCCATGACCCATCGCTCACAGCAGAGATGGCAGAAACACCACGGGCTGGAGTGACACCTCCTTCATGCATAAAACACCGAGGACAGAAGTTGTGGCGCTTCGCATAACTTCACTTCTCCCTATGCCATTGTGCTGGTTTTGGCTGACAGTGGTACCGCTATTTCGATTTTTTGCAGTGTTTTGTGCTTGAGATAGCTGGGCTCTGCCTGACATGGCATGTGAGAGGACTGCATGACATCTCTCACACATATCTCCGTGAGTCTCTTACTCCTCGGCTGTGACGTGGCCCTTCTCCCTGTGCCAACAACATCCTTTTCCATGGTGGCACTTTTGCAGCAGATCCCAGTGAATGGCTCAAGCCCAAACAACCGGCTGCCCTCCCCACACATGTGTAAAGCAGAGGGGATGCTCACATTATTATTGCTATAATTTTATTTGCATCCAACAGCTCCCTGCAACATTTTGTGCCTTTTCCACTATTTTGACCTTTATTGGATATTCAGAGACTATTTGCTGCTAACATCAGCATGCAGCTACTTGGATGTCAGTCAAAACTGGAGATAGCCTGAAAAAAATGGCAAGACCACACTGAACCTCACTGGCATAAAGCAGCTCCCACTATGAAAAAAAAAAAAAAAAAAATATATATATGCACATACACGTTAATATATCCTGACTCCAGCAACAATATTTGAGGGGGCATTGCATAAAGAAGATGCAAGGACTCAGTTCTAATTGTGAGAAACAGCATTAACTTTTACGGTGCTGTGCCCATTTGCAGCAACTCACACTTTCACACTTATTCTCACTGGCTAAGCCTAGGAAGTAAGCTGCTTCTGTCTTGAAATGTTTCCTGCACAAAACAGCTGTTGGAGTTAAGAGCAGCTCCTGATTAAATCGAGTGAGATCAGCACTCATGCTCTCACTTCAGAGGCTCACTAACAAATGGAAACCAGTGAAGAGATGGGGGAGCTATATGCAACCCCACGGTGCCTTCCAAGCTGCAGCAAATGGAGCACTATACGTGTGACTGAGGGATACAACAAAATTCTCTAAAAATCCACCATCCCACAAATGCATCTTCCTAGAAACGCCTCTGCAAAAGACTTTTGAAAGAAGACATCCTTTTCTCATTGTCGATGAAGTATACTGCAGATGCCTCAACCGACCTCTCTTACTGCTGGGTGCTCTGTAACCACACAGCAAGGCAGTCTATGACCCGTAATAGCTACCCATGACAGACAACGCAGGAAAAAGGCAAGAAACTGCTTCCACAGCCCTGCTTGGGAAAAGGGATGAGGATTATACAGGCTGGAGGGAGGCTGCGTGGTAGAAGGAAACACCCACCTCCAGCACTGGAAGAGAAAGTGCAGACAGAAAGGTCAGGGTAAGGATGCCCATGTTCATTTCATGTGCCTTGAGATAAAGATACAAGCGGGCTGCTGTGCTACTGCTCCTCCCTGATGCACACTGGGAACTAGATGAATCGGCAAAGTTAACTCCAAGCGTCTTCCTTGTTTGGACTGTATGTTGCAATCCATGTTCATAGGGGTATCTACTACTGATATAAGGGACAGAAACCTTGTCCATTACAGAAACAGTCAGATCTGTCCCATTTCTGAATCTGGTGCTATAACACCCATAAACACCAGGTATCCCAAAACAGACTGCTCGTTAGAAACCAAACAAAGCTGAAGTTGCTTCTCCAGATGCAAACTAAAAAATGAAAGAAAAGAAAAAAAAAGATGTTGCTGAGCTGCATAAAGATGAAAACAGACATTTCTGGAAATCTTTTAAAATTTTTCACTTATTGCACTGATTTACCCCCTTCGGAACAGGGCTCTGAATACACACACCTGAAACGCTCCTGAGATGCATCTGCAGCACCCATTACAAGCACCCACACAGTCAAAATAGAGATGAAATTGGTACAATTGTTTGGATTTTTCAAGAAAAGACAAACTGCTTAATCTATGGATCAAAAAAGAAAACCAGAGTAAGGCCACATCAAGAAATGACTTCCCATTTTGTTCACAGTTCGGTATTTCTATGCAGCTATTTTAAGTACATCCATTTAAACAAACCAATTCTCAACCACCAAAAGTCTACCAACTCCACATCGCCTCCACCCCTTCCCTCCCCTGGGTCTACAAACAAAGGCTTCACTTAGTTAAAATTTCTGTGAAGAAATAATAAAGAGCCATCGTTATGAGAAGCCATGTATCATGCCAGCACAAATTACCCTGCCATTTGCCAAATTGATGCGCCCTTCTTAATCACCTCTAATTTTGAGAGGGGGCCTGCCTTGCATGCAGACTGGGACTGTGCAGCAGCAGCAGGACACAAAGCCATCAATGCTGCCAGTTGAATGGCATGGTAGATCCCTCTTCCCCACGTTATTTCAGCAGCAGCATCAGATGGGGCTGCACTATCTCAACAGCTTCCTACTTTCTTCAGCCGCCCCTGCTGCATTATCTTAAAGCAAAGCTGATATGAGTCAGCTTCCACCCGGGGAGCACAGCCAGGCCAGCGGTTAGCTTGATGCAAGAATCAGCATCCATAAGGCAGACAAAGCTCGTCACACAAAGTGATTAAGTGAGAATTAATCATTAGTACCTTAAAAAAAATTTTTTCCCCCACCCTCTTTCAAGCTCACAGCAGTCAGTGAGGGGGAAGCGGAGGAAACTGGGCTGAATGGAGGAGTTGCACTGTGAGCACAGAAGGTACCAGCTGCGGCCAGCAGCCACACGTGGGTGCGCCTTCCACTTACGATGGTGCCAGGAGCACCCACTCTTCCACTGCGCCTGCGTTCTTCCTTTCACACACGCATCCTGCACCAGACCAGCCCATGCTCCCCAGCTGTGTACTTCGCTCAGCAGCTGAGCAATTAGGCAGCGTGGCAGGGCAGCATTTCCCATGCGATCTGTATGCCGTCTGACCGTACAACATGGTGGAGGGACGGTAGCATGGAACAAAAATGAGAACATCTTCCCTGAAGTGGGAAAAGAGGCATAGACCCAAACACACTGAAATCAGTCGGAATGACAGAGCACTTGGGTTAGCCCTAGCCAAGATCAGCTAGCTCTCAACATTTGCTCCCATTTGCTCTGCAGCAGCGATAGCGGTCAGAGAATGCCTAAAAACTGGTCATAGCTCAACGCTGCCTTAAAGGCTCAGCTTGGAAGCTGCATGAACTCTGCAGGAATTTATAATCTGATTTCCAGTGGAAACACA